ATGGGGAAACTAAGTCCTTAGGGGGCCTTCTCTCCCTGAGAGAAGATGACTCTCTAAGGCCACTGGGTTGTATTACACCTTTGCACTCAAAGACCAAGAGTTTGACTATTTTGAAGTGAAAGTTCATTGTAAAAAATTCATTGGATGTGTACCAATGAAACAACATGCTTTGAATTGAGCTACCATAGAGTTCTTTAAAACTGGGAAGTTTTAAAGCTGAGGAAGTTCTTAAGAATTTCATTTGTATTATCTTCACTCTGAGGATGATTATAGATTACAGATTTTTATTCTGTCACTCACACTGAGTGTGTGATAAAAATCTATAAGCATATGACCGGGTAAGAAATCATCTCCATCGTAACAATATTCTCAACAACAACAACAAAAGCTTAGTATAAATTATGCTAAGGGCATCAAAGAAATCTTAAAATGGTTAACCAATGAAAAATAATCATTTTACAGTCAATTGATCCAAAGAATTTAAAATGGAAGGAAGGAGCACCAGGTATTTAGGAATATGTCTGAGTGTAGACTAATAGTCACGTGATGAAAAGCTTAGGCCTACATCATGGTGACTGGTTTTTATGGCTGAGAAATATGGTAGGTACTTGGAAGTATTAATTTTTGACTTTGTCTTGCTTTTGTCATCTCCTAGGGAGGAGCCTCCTCAAAAGAAGCATCACAGTATCCCAGGGTCTCCTAGGTTTTCCACAGGGGCCAATATCCCAGTGTCTCTCCACTAAAGGATGCTGCAGTCCCTCAAGAGGTCCAAATATTTCCAGGTATATGTTTTCTCTTCTTCTGTCTCCACATCTGTGTTTGCCCAAATCTTGACCTATACATTGAATTGGGCACAATTACTAACAGTTACATTTATACAAGTTTAATAGATGCGAAATTCATTAAATAGTTTAGAAAGAAGTGCACTAATGATTAGGGGAATCAGAAAATACTTCATGCAAAAGATGATACTTGAGCTGCTTCTTAAATAAAAAAGAGAGGAAATCTCTAAGGCAGGAGTAAGGAAAGAATGCTTTCTAGACACTGGAATGGCCTCTATAAAGGTATAGAGATAGGAAATAGGTTGTCACATAGGAGAAACAGGGAGAAAGCTAGTTTGGCTGTATTGTGGAGAGCAATATAAGAAGCAATTTTCAACGAGATCAGAGAAGTTGGTCCAGGTTGTGTAGGGCTTAAGAAGATAAACATAGTTCAATTTTCCCCCATAGAGACAACAAAAAGCTACTGGAATTAATTGAATAGAGGAGTCACAATGGTGAAAAGTTTGACACCATGGGAGTGATAAGAAGTTTGAAGCAGGGGATTAATTAGGAAACTGTTTGAATAATCTATCTAGTCACAAGGTGATGAAATCCTGAAATAAAGTGGGTAACTGTGAAAATAGAGACAGAGTCAAATATGAAAGATACTGTGCAATTGGAAATGACAAGATTTGACAACTTTATTGGCTACATGGGGTGAGTATAAGTAAGCAGATGAGTGTAGTATTAAGGTCATGAACCTGGGACACTGGAAGAATGGTGATGCCTTTGATAGAAATAGAGAAATTTATAAGAGAAAAGGTTTAGTGAGACATATAATTAGTTCAGTTTTGGAAAAATTAGGAAGCCACCATCCCAAATGCCTTACTCTTGCTACCACAACTATGCTTAGTTCATAATTTGTAATATCATTTCAGTCCCTTCACAATGTGAAGAAACAACACTAAACTACATCTCCAAGAAGCTCATATGTCCCTGAAGACCTTCTCTGACTATAGAAATCCATCTCCAAAAGTGTGTTACATTGCAGAAAAGATAACTAAGGGAAGTGAGGTGCTTAATGGTCGGCCTAAGAAGGCTGCAATATATAATACACAAGAAACATGAATGATGGACATCATCAAGCAATTGTATGTAAAAGAAGATAGGCTGTTTGTTCACATTGCAAGAATGTGGGATGACAGGTAGAAAGCAAAAATAGCTGATATTATGAAGATGTTGAGCAGAAAGAAAACCTCCAGTTTGTTTTTGGAGGGCATGGGCAAAATCAGCACAGCACTGGCAGGCATGGATAGGTTGTGAACTGCATCCGTGGAAGGAACTACTGAACCAGTAAGATCACATATTTGTTTGAGTATTTGATATTGCCAATTACATAGAAGGGTTGTTTATACCATTTGGAATATATCTTTTCAGTTGTTTCTAATAGTCAGTGTCCTGGGCTTAAATCTCATCCATCACACAGGTAGGTTTATCTCTGGATTTTATTCTACCTCATAGACCTTAAGTTGTTTCATTTGTCTACATAACAAATAATTAGTATAATTAGATTTTTCTAGAAATATAAACAACCCCTCTTATATTTATATGCACTGTACATATACACAGTATTTTTGTAAAGAATATTTTTATTACCTCACTAATGTGATTTTGTGTGTGTGTGTGTGTGTATACACACACTCACCTTTTCCCTCTCCACATACACACACATATGTATATACAAATGAATTTACATATCAAAGGAAACTGATCTTTTAAGAATCTGGTCATTTCTTAACCTATTTAAACTTACCTGTTTACCTATACTTATCTGTTTATAGACATATCTATGAATATATAGATATAGATATAGATGTAGATATAGATATAGATATATACATACCTGTACATATATATATATACACACACACATACAGATAGATAAGTATAAAACAGCCTGCATATATGTATAAATTTATCTATCTAGATATATCTACATATATAGAGAGATATCTATATACATAGATATAGATATAAATATATATATATTTATCTATAGATATGTTTCTATCTAAATACATTTATCTATGTTTACTATATTCATGTATATGCATATATGTGAACATTGTATACATAATATAAATGCATACATTAATACATATCTACACGTAGATATAAAGCATATAGAGTATATTATGTAGCTAGATAGTATATATAGTACATCTATAAATATATATAATACATTAATATATCTGCATAGATATATAGATCTATATGTCATTATAGATGTAGGTATCATGTGCATGCATATGTTTATATACACATAAACATATATTCTAAGATTACAGGTAGATAAATATAGCTAAATAGATAAATCTATGTATTTATCTATGAGACTATATCTCTATATATGTATATATTTATATACACACATGCATATATACATACATATTCATATACATATATACAATATCCATACCTATATAGATAGATAGATGCAGATAACTTCCATCTAATTTTCACCTCTTGTGGTGGTACATGACTATAATTCCTGCTACTGGAGAGGCTAAGGCTGGTAGATCACTTAAATTTGGGAATTCTGAGCTACAGTTCATGCATCTTCACTAATTCTGGCACCAATATGGCAAGCATTTGGGAGGGGATACCAAGAAGATACCAGACTGTCTAGGGAGGGGTAAACCAATTCAGTTGGAACTAGAGCAAATCAAAGCTTTAGTGCTAATGAACATGGAAGTCATAAAAGATGCCCTATCGTGTAGAAATTAGCTACTACCACCAAGTTAAATTTGAGAGAGATCATGATCTTAAAAAATGTACTTTTCAGTGCTCTATAAAAATAGAATGGGAATTTAACCTGAGCAAAATTCAGAGAATCCCCTATAACATCTTCTAAAACCTCCCTTGGTGGAAATGAGGTGTTTCATGGCATCAAGTCCAAAGCTCAAATTCATCCTGTCAAATCTAGGTCTACATGCTTCATTTCCTTTTAACTTCTCATTGAAAAGTTCTCTGTGTATACAAGATATGACATACAGCAAGGATAAAGTTACTCTACTCTTTTCTTTCCAATACCGTATATCCAAAGGTATGAAACTATTTATAATATTTAAAACCACTGAAATGAAGATTATTTTTTAATACTGAATAAAAGGAAAAGAAAAGCTGAACTGAAATTGTTCAAGGATTTAAGTGAAAAGGGGAATTAGTGCTATAGGGAAAGGATGGGGGAGGAAAGTTTGAAGCTTTGAGAGACTGGATAAATAGTGGTTCAGTGGAGAAGTGGGTGGAAGGACAGAGTGAGCCCTACACAATGGCAGGGTGGAGGCAGGAGTAGGTTTGCATGTTAACTGAAGGGCTCAAAAGTAATATCTCCTTAGAAAAGATACCTGCTGGGCATGGAATTTCTATTACTTAGGTACAAATATATTGCATGATAAAGTTGATAGTATCCTTTCCAGAAGGCTACAATTAATTATTTCATAATGCCTGAAGGTTTCAATGTGTGTGTGTGTGTGTGTGTGTGTGTGTGTGTGTGTGTGTGTGTGTGTGTGTGTTGGGGGGTTAGAGATAGTAGGCAAGGAAAAAGCATTTTTTTCTCTTTCACTTTTACAAGAGTATATATTTCTTACTATCGCCTTTTCTGTGAAAATACATGTTTTAGGGTAGGGAGGGGATAAATGAAGGAAGTAGAAGGACACGGTAGTTTTATAGACCGACCAGCAGGTTTCAGTGTGGAGGAATAATCGCAATTTAAAAAGTATCTCCAAAATTTCCTCCTCTTTCTCTTAGCTAGTCTTTTGTAATCTTATGTATGTTACTTAAAAAAAAAAAGCAGAAGGCAGCATAAAAACAATAGGAATACATTTTACCCAATGGGTCCACAGTCACAGACCAGACTGCAAGGCCACCAGGAGAAAGTATGAGAGAATATATTCTATGACATCCTGCTCCTTCCCCAAATAAACATTGAGGGCCAATGGAGTTATACTTTTCTTTTATTTTTGAAATGGCAAACCATATTTAATGTCTTTGTATGTACTTCACTGTCACCCCTCCACTGTGATCCATCATCACTCAGAACTCAGGGCAGGGAGCACATCAATACATTCCTTCGATCAAGATTGGAAGCGAGGGCTGGTAATTACCCTTCCATGCAAATAATTTCTGATGTTCTACACCAGGATATACGTCTCTGTATTCTATGATAAAATGATCTCTTCAGTCCCATAGGATGTTTGGAGTCTTTTGTTCTTCAGCTGCCCTAATGCAGACACCACGATGCTGAAAGTAGCGATAGGCCAGGGCACTACACAGGAAGCCGCCATACACGGTGAGCAACATCATGGAGGCAAACGAGGCCTTGTAGCCAAAGTCATCTACTTGTTTAGCTGATGGCATTTTGTCCCCTGGCCCTCACAGCTAAGACCGCAGCCTCCCTAAGTCCTTCGACTCACTCAACCTCTATAGTTTCTATAATCAGAAGAACAGCTATAGAATATAATACAAGATTGCCAAGACACAGGACCACACCATGAGACAATAGTGCACCCTAAAGGGAATTTTAATTCTGTTCCCAAAACAGTATGATGCCTATTTACTCCTGCTTGAATTAAGAATTTCCCACAAAATTGATTGGCAGCTTTGCAAGGTTTTTTTTCCCAATAAGTAACAATTTACGTGTATATGATTCACAATTATATAAATAATTGGAAATCTCCATTATAAATATTTGGAACCTTTGGATAAACCTCTTATATCAATCATCTTATACAACATAAATTATCATTTCTAGTTCTGAAGAATTACTCCTAAGTTACTCCTTCCTTGCTATATCCTGTAACAATCTATTTGGTATTTCAACACTGAATCCAAATCTATATTCCCTAAAGTCAAACCCCATAATAACAGATACTGCTACACAAGCTGGTATTTCAAAAGCATTTGAATGAAAGAACAAACATATAATTATGAGCATTTCCAATCTTTCTATAGATGGTCTACAGAAATAGTTTTATAGGGGGGACAACACATCATAGAAGAAAAAATCTTCTATTTTGGAAATGAGAAAGCTTTGGTTTGAATCTTGTCTCTAACACTTACTGCCTATATGTTTCAAATAAAACAATATTAAATATCTAAGGTTTCCTTATCTGTAAAAGGAGGTTAGCAGAAATTACTTAATAGAGCCAAGATGGTGGAGAAAAGGCAGGGACTCACCTGAGCTCTCCCAAATCCCCCTTCAAATAACTTAGCATAATGCCTGAAAATGAATTCTAGAGTAGCAGAAACCATAAAAGGAGAGGGGAAAAACAATTTTCCAGCCCAAGACAATTCAGAAGGTCTGCAGAAAAGGTCTGTCAAATTGGTGTGACAATGGAGCGCAGTCCAATGCAGGTTGACCAGTGCAAACCATACCCCAGGAAATAAGCAGCAGACCTTGGGTGTAACTGTATGAGTGGCAGCAGAGGTGGCTTCCAGAGCTATCATCTCACAGTTGGTAAGGGGTTGAACAACAGGTCAGAAGGAGATTATAGGGGTCCCTTTATTGGCACTGGGTGTAGGACTCTGCTGCATTGCCCATATTTGTATCTGGGTCATAATTATGAGTCTCAGTCCCAGGAGAGGAAAAATACTAACACATTTATGGCCACAGGGAAGCAGACACCCTAGTCATAGTTCCAGGAAGGAAAAGAGAGCTTGTGATTACTCATGGAGCAGAACAGAGCCAGGAGGATAATAAACACACTTCTCCTTGGATCATGCTACTTTGGAAGAATTGAAAATTTACAGATACCTAGAACTACCTCTGAAAACATCTGCACACACAATGGCACCCCAAAAGCTTAGGTCTTTGCTTTCTTCATCTTGGGAACAGAGCACAACTTTAATATACAAAGTTAAAAATAAAGAAAAACACTGTGAAAATGAGAAAACCAAAAAATCTGACCACAGAAAGTTAGTACAGTAACAAGGAGGATCAAAACACAAACTCAGAAGACAAAAAAAAAAATAAAATAAAACTGCTACAAACAAAGCTTCAAAGAAAAATGTGAACTAATCTGAGGTCCAAAAAGAGTTCCAGGATGAGCTCAAAAGGGCTTTTAAAGATAAAATAAGAGAGGTCAAGGGGAAAAAAAGGAAAATAAATTAGAGTGATTCAAGAAAACCATGAATAAGCATCACCAACAGCGTAAAGAAATACTGAAGAAAACAACACCTTAAGAAATAGAATAGGCCAGGGCAGCTAGGTGGCACAGTGGGTAGAGCACTGGCCCTGGATTCAGGAGGACCTGAGTTCAAATCCAGCCTCATACACATAACGCTTATTAGCTTTGTGACCCTGGGCAAGTCACTTAACTGCATTACTTAGCCAAAAAAAAAAAAAGAAATAGAATAGAACAGGCCAAATGATAAAAAAGAGGCACAAATATCCATTGCAGAGAGGAATGATTTAAAAGGCTGAATTGGACAAAAAGAAAAAAAGAAGCAAAAAAAAATTATCTGAAGAAAAGAAGCCCTGAAAATTAGAAGTGGTCAAATGGAAAACAAGGTACAAAAGCTCAATGAAGAAAATAAACACTTAAAAATTATAATTGCAGTAAGTGGAAGCTAATGACCTCAAAAGACATCAAACAACAATTTAAAAAATCAAAATAGTGAAAAAAGAAGAAAATATGAAATACATATCCTTCATATACATACATATATGCATACACATATAAACACACACACACACATATATTAAAAAAAATTGACCTGGAAAATAAACTTAGGAGACATCATTTAAGAATTACATCAGAGAATCCACACTGGGGAGAAACCTTACGAATGTAATCATTGTGGAAAGGCTTTCAGACAAAACTCCCAACTTCTTCTGTATCAGAGCATTCACACTGGAGAGAAACCTTAGCAATGTGATCAATGTGGAAAGACTTTCAGAGAGAACTCCAAACTTGCTGCACATCAGAGAATCCACACTGGAGAAAAACCTTATGAATGTAACCATTGTGGAAAGGCTTTTAGAAGTACCTCAGATTGTTCTGTACATCAGAGAATCCACACTGGGGAGAAACCTTATGAACGTTATCAATGTGGAAAGGCTTTCAGACAAAATTCCCAACTTGCGCTACATCAGAAACCTAATGAGATAAAACTTTTTTATGTACACTCTCACGTTACTATACAAATCTGATGAAAGAAAGGGCCAAGGGACATAGTTTCTGCATAATCATTTCATTAATTATGGCTAATGAATAATTAAAATAATTAATAAAAAGATGGTCATTTACCTTTCTCTTGTAAACTAAATATGAATCATGGAGGAATATGAACACTTATATGCCGTTAGAGAAGTGGGTGTTACCAAGTGGCATAAATCAACTCTCATTGATTAAAAATTAATTAAACTGAAAAAAATTAGAAAAAAAAGAATCATTGAACTACCAAGATGGCACAGTAAGAAGTAAATTGCTCTCACCTTCCCTTATTGACCTCTGGAAGCCCAGAAAATAGTAACCCAAGAAAAAAACCCCTGGAACAGCAGTCTTGTAGCCTAGGAAGCTTGGGGGATTAATGGGAAAGGCTCCTCTCACTCTGGGGGAGGGGGAGCACTATAGGATGAGAGGCATCCCATCAAGAAAGCAGCAAGCCCCACCTCAACATACCAGGGGGAGATCCTGCAATCCAGGGTGATGGCGTGGGTGATTGCCAACATCAGGACTGCTGAGTGCCTCAGTACAGGCAAGTGAACCATTAAACAATAGTTAAGAAAACCACCACATGTGACAGCATTCTCCAGAGGCCAAATCACCAGGAGCCTCAGCACAATTCTGAGAAGCACAACCCTAGGAGGCAAAGTTCCAGGCTGACAGTCATGCTCCAGCATTGAAACATCCTTGTGCAAGGCCCAGGTGAGCAAGAATCAAACAACAGAGTGCAAACCCTGGGTGAGCAGGCATCCCTCAGGGGCCAGACTCCAGACCCACACCCCAAGAGCTCCAGTATTGCTCACCCCAGATCAGCAACAGATAAGCAGCCAAAATCCTACAGCCTCCAACTGCCAGCAAATGACGCCCCAGCACACAAAGCCAGTGACAAGCTCCTGGGCTCCCAGGACAAGAGACTTGGGTAAGTATCCCCTGTTCTCCAGCAGTAGAGTTGAACTTTAAAAAAAAGGCAAGAAATAGGGAAACACCAAGAACAAGAGGAGAAGTGAACAATGACCTTAGATTCTTCTTATAAGAAAAGGGAACAAATTCAGAAGAGGAGAACATTGTCAATATATCCACATCTAAAACCTCAAAGGGGAATATGAACACACAGAAATATCAAGCCCAAAAAGCATTCTTGGAAGAGCTCAAGAAGGAATTTTAAAGTCAAATAAGAGAGGTAGAAGAAAAATTGGAAAAGAAATGAAAGACATGAAAGAGAGAGTCAATAGCTTGGAAAAAGAAGGACAAAAATTTACTGTAGAAAACAAGTCCTTAAAAAATACAATAAGCCAAATGGAAAAAAAAGTACACTGAAGAAAACAATTCCCTGAAAAGTAGAATTGGCCAAATGGAAAAGGAAGGACAAACACTAACTGAAGAGAAAAACTTAAAAAGTCAAATGGGCTAAATGGAAAAGGAGGGTACAAAATCTAGTAGAAGAAAACAATTGGTTAAAAATTAGAATGAGGCAAGTGAAAGCTAATGACTATATGAGAGATCAAGAATCAAACAGAAACAAAAGAATGGGAAAAGAAAATTGAAGAAAACATAAAATACCTCATTGGTAAAACAACTGACATGGAAAATAGATCCTGGAGAGAGAACTAAAAAGTTATTGGACTATCTGAAAGCCATGATCAAAAAAAGAGCTTAGACATCATCTCTCAAGAAATTATCAAGGAAAACTGCCCTGATATTTTGGAACCAGAAAGCAAAATAGAAATTGAAAGAATCCACTGATCACCTCCTGAAAGAGATCCCCAAAGGAAAACTCCTAGGAATATTGTAGCCAAATTCCAGAATTCTCAACTCAAGGAGAAAATATTGCAAGCAGCCAGAAAGAAGAAATTCAAGTATTGTGGAAATACAATAAGGATAACACAAGATTTAGCTGCTTCTACATTAAGGGTCTGGAGGGCAATGGAATATGATAATTCCAGAAGGCAAAGAAGATAGGGCTACAACCAAGACTCACCTACTTAGCAAAACTGAGTATAATCCTTCAGGGCAAAAAATGGTCATTTAATGAAATAAGGGACTTTCAAGCATTCCTGAGGAAAAGACCAGAGCTGAATATAAAATTTGACTTTCTAATACAATACTCAAGTGAAACATGGAAGAGGTAAACAGGAAAGAGAAATCATAAGAGACTTATTAAGGTTGAACTGTTTACATTCCTGCAGGGAA